GCTCTGCTCCACTCATATAGTCTTCTCTATTGGGCTCTACTCTACCTCAATCCGATCCACATCTCCTTTTTGTTCTACTCTGTCCTGCTCTACTCTATCCTACCGTGTCCCACCCTTTCTACTCGACTGTACTCTGCCATTATCCACTCTACTCTACCCCTACTACCTAAGCAAGCCGAACGATTCCCTTCTTGAGCCCGAAATGTCGGAAGCGACGTGCCGTTCAGGTGAGCGGATACATGTAGCGCTCTGTTCGGCTTGATGCGTGCCATATGTTATGGGAGAAGATGCGGGAATTGGCCGGTCCCGCTGTCGACCCCCCCTCCACCGCACAACGCTGACGTGGGCACACACCCCACCCGCCACCACAAATATCATCCCAGGACGTGGTCCCGGCCCTTGGAGCCGAAGATCTGAAGAAGCACTTCGAGGCCGTGGAGGTGGTCTGTAAGAGGCCGCCAGCGCCGGAGGAGGAGTGCTCCACAGAGCAGTTGACTGGACTCCACACCATGCTCTCCCGCGACGTGGCCCCGTACATGGATTTCGGCGTCTGGGGTCCGTTCCACCACAAGTTGCGCGCAAGAAGATCCGGCTCACGGGCATGCAGCTGTCCTCCGACGGGGTCATCACGAATGTCGAGCTGGTTGGCCCGCCGGACGTGGATGCGTAATCTGAGTGCTACACGCTCTTGGTTACGGGTCTTCTCGGCTTCAACGCCGTGTCGTATGGGAACCTTTTGGACTACGGCAAAAAGATCCGCAACTACGTCAAGATGTACGGACATGATGTGTGGCCGCTCCTTTATCAGGCGGACGTTCGTTGCCGCCTGGAGCACATGGAACGCTTGCGATGCCAGCTGGAGAAGGACGCGGCCAAGGCGGCCGCACTCAACAAAGAGGCTGCGATCCCCTTCAATCGGGCCATGCCGTGGGACGCGGTTTGGCTGGCCGCCTTGAACGATGCAGACTATTGGAAGCAGCAGTTCGAGCAACCGGCCTTGCTGATTGCCGCCAAAGTGGGGAAGCTGTCGGACGCTGTCGGTGGCGATGCGCCCGTCGGTGCTGCGGGCATGGTCGGTCCAGGCATGGACAGGCTGGTGGATAAGGCCACGCCGCCTCTCCCGCGCAACGCTGGCGCGGCGTCCTCGCAGGACACCCGCAAGCGCAAGCGTGAGGAACGCGGCAGAGGACAGGGCCAAAAGTACCACCGTGTGCATGACGGCGTGTTCACCCACAACCGTAGGGAATATCCACTTTGCGGTAACTTCCAGACCGGGGCGTGCACCTCCCGCGGTCTTTGGTGCCCCAAACACTCCGGGCACGTGCACCAATGTGCCAAATGCTTGAGTACAGCGCACGGTGCGTCGCATCCTTCCCCAGGGTGCTCTGCGGTGCCGCACGAGCCCGGCGCCACTGGAAAGGGGAAGGGCGGCGAAGGCAACGGAAAGGGCAAGAACAAAGGCGGCTGGCAGCATTGAGGAACGATGCCACAGCAGCGCTTGACGGCGCAACCTATGAAGGGTCCGGCCGAGCCGCTCTCAGCAGAGCCGGAGTCTGAGGGACAATCGCGCCACGTAGCATCTTCGATGCGATCCTCTCTGCCTCTGTTGACTATCCCTTTGCCTCTTTCCACGGCTTCTCCTGCTATGTCTGCGGTTGCGCCGCCTGTCGACGGCTTCCGCATTTTGTTCTTGTTCGCGGGGTTCGCCGGCTCCGAAGGCGGCGTCGACGCTGTTTTGAAGGCCATGGGCGGCGTCGTCGACGTGATCGTTTTTAAGGTAGACCCGGTGGAGTGCGACATTCTGGAGGATGCGGTCTGGGACGGCGTCGCTGGCAGGATTTCGAGTGGCATCTACGACGCGTGCCTTATCGCTGCGCCGAGCTCTACCTTTCGGGTGGCTCGCGGCGGTCAGGGCGGCGACCGCTGTCGTGCTCCACCAGCGTTACGGGGCGAACTCCCTCCAGACATCTACGGACTTCCTGGTGACTTCCTGGTCTGAGTCCGCGTGACAAGGAGACTGTTCGGAAGGGCGCGTTGTTGGCATTACGCTCCAGACAGGCAGCACGGGCGTTCTGCGACCTAGGTCGGCCCTGGGCGTGGGAAGCGCCAGCGGTGGAGACGGGTTGCCCTTCGATCTTCATGCTTCCGGAAGTGCTGGAGCTGGACTCTGTGTCTGGCGTTGCTGACTTCAGGTTGCCTCGCCGTGTCTTCGGGGCCGGCTGTTGGAAGGATGCGGTTGTGAAGTCTTTCAGGTTACGTCTGGACTTCTCTCGCGAGGCGGACCTCGATCTCGAGGTCGCGCGCGCGGTGGTGGCCGCGATCATGGCTAGCCGGAGGGGCGCTGCTGCGCCCCCGCCGCAGGTGCTTCGGCCGCCTGCTCAGCGCGCGGGCCTACCCCGAGTCCAGTTCGCAAACCCTCTCCGCGGCAGGCCGGGGCAGGACCTCGAAGACAAGGCGATGGAGGATTGGAACTGTTTAGCTGGCATGCGCGACTGTGCACGGGCTGTGCAAAGTATGCCTGGCATCCTGAAGGCAGGCGTCATTGTGAACCAGCTGCTGGACAAGGTGATTGCCTCAGATGCCGCGCTGGTCCCATCCGTCTCCGAGCTCCTGTCGGGCCGCATGGGCGACGATGCATTGCAGCTCGCGAGCGCGCGGCTCGACGAGGCGCTTCGGCGACCCCGGGACTTGCTTGGCAGGGTTCTGGGTTGTTCTGACGTCGGCGCCGTCGACGGGGAGTTGTACTCCACTGGAATACGTGCGCGGCTGCTGCACCGGCGGGCCGTGAGGCGGCCCACCGGTAGAAGCTCGACGCGAAACGGCCGTATAATCATAGCTTTGGTCAGCACATCCACAATTCCGTGGATAGCATGATGCTGCACGTGCGGTGCCCCGCGGATCCCACTCCCCCTGGATTCAAGATGATAATCATCATTGTATCTCTATTCTCGGAAAATCAATGGATCCATTGGTTCTCCAAACACGGGAAAGTGGATCCGCGCAAGACAAATATAGGATCCACGACACTGTCGCACACCCGAAAAGTCATCCAATTTGACCATCGGTGTTTCATATTTTTAGTCCAAGAGGAAAAACGTCGGCCTAGGGATGTATACTCTACTGTGCTCGTCGTCGTCGTCGTCATCATCTTCGTCGTCTCCGTCGTCATTATCGTCGTCGTCGGCGTCGTTACCGCCGTCGTCGTCGTCGGCGGCGGCGGCGGCGGCGTCGGCGTCGGCGTCGTCGGCGTTGTCGTCGTGCGTCTACGTCGTGCGTCATCGTCGTCATCGTCGTCGCCCGCCTCGTTCTCTGGCGGCGGTGACGACGACGTCGGACGTCGGACGTCGGATGTCGTCGTCGTCGCCCTGGAAGGGGGGATTGGTCCCAAATCATTTTCCCACGCCAAATAATTGTCCCGGGGGGGGATTCTGCCCCCCCCCGGCTTGGGGCGGGGAAGGGGGGGGGGCGTGTTACAGGCGCCTCTGCGATGCGCCTCGCAAGCGTCTCATAGGCGCCCCTGCGAGTCGTCTCACAGGCGCCTCTGCGACGGATCCTACAGGCGTCTGGCAGGCGCCTCTGTGAGGCGTCGCGCATTCGCCTCTGCGACGCGTCCTGCAGGCGAATCACAGGCACCCCTGCGAGGCGTCTCGCAAGCCCCTTGGCGAAGCGTGTACTGGCATCTTACAGGCGCCTCTGCAAGGCGTCTGCGAGGCGTCTGCCAAACGTCCTACAGGCGCCCGCGCGAGGCGTCTTACAGGCGTCTCACAGGTGCCTCTGAGAGGCGTCTTACACGCGCCTCTGAGAGGCGTCTTACAGGCGCTTCCGCGAAGCGTCTTACACGCCCCTCTGGGACGCGTCTTACAGGCGCCACCGCGAAGAGTCTTACACGCGCATCTGGGAGGCGTCTTACAGGCACCTTTGAGAGTCGTCTCTTGCAGGCGTCTTACAGGCGCCTTTGGGAAGCGTCTTAAGGGCGCCTCTGAGGTGTCGTACATGCGTCTTACAGCCGTTGCACTGGCGTCACTTACAGGTGCCCCTGAGAGGCGTCCCACAGGCGTCTCTTACAGGCGTCTCTGAGAGGCGTCTTACAGGCGCCTCTGACGCTTCTGTTACAGGAGCCTGTGAGAGGGGTCACGCAGGCGTCTCTCAGAGGCCCCTGAGAGGAATTTTGAAACATTGTAAGGTATCTCTCAAGAATCTTGTCCCCAAGAAATATTACACAAACACCAACGGAATCTAGAATAGTCCGACTGCACCGTACGGAATCTTGAAGAATCAATCAGTCCTACTGCATCCTACAGGCTCCTACGGGATTCAGAAAAATCCTCAAGGATGTATACGGGCACTGTGGTGCACGTGGGTGCTGTGGTGTAGAAAAGCTTTCAGGCGCAGCGAAAGGGTAATAGAGGAGCAAGAGAAGGAGGATGGAAGTGAGAGGGGGCAACATAAGAAAACATCACACATCTCTTATGCGTAGCCAGGTGGCCCCAAAAGGGGCCTGCGGATTTCGTGTGTGTTGTTTGTTGGTTTATGCATCCAATAAGATAGACTGCGTAATTATTCATTAGCACCGCCATCCACATCCACATCTTGAATTCCAAATCATCGCAAACAATTGTGTTTTCAACTCCAACCCGGGCAATCATGTTAGTTTGTGGGGCAAACGTGCACGCGTAATCCGACAGTGAGTTTGGGGATATGTGAACATGGCCTCACATTAAAATCAAATAGAAAAGTTACTCGACCAGTTCTGATCTGGTCCGAGATGCGGTTTGGACCCCCACTGCTTGCCAGCAGCGCCAGAAATCGCTGCGTCGGAGATCTCAAAGGAATTGTAAGCTGCTCCAGGAGGCGCCAGGGGCGCGTTCGGCACGCATTCGGCTCTCTGGAGGCCCCATATCCCGTCTCGAGACAAGACCTTCTGGCACGCGCGGGGTCCCGCAGTTCAGTATGGATAGCGTTTGGCTCCATCTTCGCCTCCCACATCTCGCTCAGCAGTGTCAGAGATCGCTGCCACTGCCCGCCCTTCTCGCAAGCGCTGATCCCAGCGTTGTGGCTGACTAGTGTTTGCACCGAGGGGCCCTGCTGGGAGAGCTCTTAGAGCGCTCTAGGAGCCTTGTGGAAGCTTCTTCGGCCGTCTGGGGGAGGCGGAGGCCTTCCCGGCGGTCCCCCCTAGGCTTTGCTATGCTAGCCGAGTGCCACGCGCTGTTCCCAATATTCTGGGAGAGATGACGCTGGGCTCCAGCTTTGCCTCCCGCATCTCGCTCAGCAGCGCCAGGGCCCGCTGCCACTGCTCGCCCTTCTCGCACGCGCTGATCCCAGCATTGTAGCTGACTAGGGCAGACCTGTGGACTCCGTCCACGACATCAGCTCGACGTGGCGAGGGGTCTCTGGGCAAGCGCGGGGGGGTGCGGCTGCAGGGCCGAAAGGCTGAAGGCTTCGTGGGGGCCGTTTCGGAGCCTCTTCGGCCTTCTTTTGGGCCTCCCGGGGGGGCTCTTAGGGCCCTCTCGGGCCGTCTTGGGTGCCTCTTGGGCCGTCTTGGGGCCGTCTGAGGCCCGCCTCGGCGCCTCTTGGGCTGTCTTGGGCCGTCTTGGGCCGCTCCTGGGGCCGTCTTGGGTGCCTCTTGGGCCGTCTTGGGCGCCTCTTGGGCCGTCCTGGGGCCGTCCTGGGGCGTCTTGGGACCGTCTGGGGGCCCTCCTGGCCCGTCTTGGGGCTCTCTTCGGGTCCCCTTCGGCCGTCTTGGAGCGGTCGGGGGGACTTCTTGGGCCGTCTTGGAGCGTCGGGAAGCCGAAGAGGCGAGGAGGCCGAAAACATAGAAAAACACAGTAGAAATCGACGATTTCTGTCGTTCGGGGCCCTCTTGGGAGGCCTCTGCGGGCGTCTTGGACGCCTCTTGGGCCGTCTGGGGCGAATCTCGGGCGTCTTGGGCCCATCTTTAAGCGTGCCGGGGCTCTCCGGGGCCGTCTTGGGGGCTTCTGGGGGCCCTCTCGACATGTCCTGGAGCCTGCCTGGGCGGCCCGGGGCGGCCCGGGGCCAGCCCGGGGCGGTTTTGACCCGCGCGAGGCACCGAAGCAGCGAGAGGTGGCCGCTGGTCTGCGCGGTCCCGGGGAGGGAGGCGAGACCTCTGGGGCAGGGCTCAACCTAAACGGTGTTTTTCTTTTTCGTTGTTTTTGTTTTCGTTTTCCCTCGCCTTTGTCTCGAATCCGCCTTTACCTCAAAACGAAGTCGAAACGAAGACGGCCCACCCGGCCCACAAATCGCCAAAAACACCGTTTAGGTCCAGCCCTGCTCTGGGGGTCGGCGTCATGAAAAAGTCATGGCGTCAGTCATGACAAAGTCATGAAAAAGTCGGGCTCAATTTCGGAGAGCCCCATAGAGTGCAACATGGCCTGCACGATGGCCGAATGTAGCTCAAGATGGCTCAAAATATCGTCAGACACACATCCAAGAACCCTCAAAAGGCCCCAAGAGAGTTTCAAGTGCCGTCCGAACCAGCAGCAGCACCAGCAGGAGAAACAGCAGCAGCACAGCAGCACGAGAACCATCAACACCAGCGGCAGTACGAACTGCACCAGCAACACCAGCAGCATCCGCAGCAGCAACACCGGCAAGAGCACCACCACCAGCAGCTAAAGCACCAGCACGAGCAGCAACAGCAACACCAGCCCAGCAATAGCCTTACCACCACCACCAGCAGCAGCACCAGCAGCACCAGCAGTACCACCAGCAGCACCGGCTCAGCAGCAGCACCGCCACCACCACCAGCCGCAGCACCGGCAGCAGCCTCCCCCGTCCTCCTTGATTTCTTTTCTCCGCCTCCTTCCCCTCCACTCCTGTCGCGACGCTGGCCGCCACTTTTGACGGCGAAAGAGGGCACGAGGACAAGCGAAGAAGACAGAAGAAGCTCCCAAGACGGCTCAAACACAAGCCAGCAGGGGCCGCAGAAGAGCTCACAAAGGGCGCCCGACGGGTGCTACAATAGGGTGGTGCGTTGTTTCACCCGTGGGGGCCCCGTTGGGAAGGCTCCAGAATGGCGCAAGAGGGCCCCAGGGCGCCCCATAGCTCCAAAGGCAACCCCAGGAGAACTCCGAAGACGGCTCAAACACAAGCCAACAGGGGCCGCAGAAGAGCTCATAAACAGCACCCGACGGGTGCTACAATAAGGGGGTCCGTTGTAGCACCCGTGGAGGCCCCGTTGGGAAGACTCCAGAATGGGCCAAGAGGGCCCGAGGGCGCCCCATAGCTCCAAAGAGAGCCCCAAGAGAGCTCCTAAGACGGCTCAAACAGAAGCCAGCAGGGGCCTCAGAAGAGCCCATAAAGGGCACCCGACGGGTGCTACAAAAGGGGGGTGCGTTGTAGCACCCGTGGGGGCCCCGTTGGGAAGGCTCCATAATCGCGCAAGAGGGCCCCAGGGCGCCCCACAGCTCCCAAGAGAGCCCCAAGAGAGCCCCCAAGACGGCTTAAACACAAGCCAACAGGGGCCGCAGAAGAGCTCATAAAGGGCACCCGACGGGTGCTACAATAAGGGGGTCCGTTGTAGCACCCGTGGGGGCCCCGTTGGGAAGGTTCCAGAATGGCGCAAGAGGGCACCAAGACTCCCCAAATAGCACCAAGAGAGGCCCAAGACCGCCCTAAACAGCAATATCTCCCCCCTTGATAGGCCGCATGCTGCTACGCAGTTCTGATCAAGGCAACTCCCCTGGCGATTGCGTTTAGATGGGCTGGTGGGGATACGCGAAGCGTGAAGAGTTGAAGACGATTGCCACGCGAAGTCTGCTACGGCGTCCAGTCTGACGGCAGGCGAGACGCTGGGGGGCCTCTTGGGCCGTCTTTGGGCGGTCGTGGGGACCTCTTGTCCCATCTTCTGACCCATACTCCCGACAAGCAGTGTGTACTAAAATTTGACGTTTTTCGTTGGAAAAACAATGATTTGGGCCTGTGGGGGCCATCCTGGGACGCCTCTTGTGCGTCTCTGGGGCCGTCGTGGAGGCCTCCTGGGCCTTGTCGGGGCCGTTTTCGAAGGTCTGGAGCTCTCTTGGAGCGCTCTTGGGCCGTTTTGGGGGTGTCTGAGGCCGTCCTGGGCGCCTCTGGGGCCGCGTGAGCGCCTCTGGGGCGTCCCCGGAGCCGTTGTGGTGCATTTTAAATCCATCAAGACAGGGACCCTTCCCGCACGCACGGGTCCCTGCATTGTAGAGAACACTAGGGCTGACCCGCGGCCTCCGGCCACGACATCTGGCCAAAAGTATTCTATTCTAGGGGGGAGCGGCGGAGGGGCCTCTGGGGGCTCTCGTGGTCTCTCGTCGGTGCCGTTTGGGCCGTCTCGGAACCGTCCTGGGCCGTTTTGAGCGCCTCGTGGGCCGTCTGGGAGCCGTCTTGGACCGTCTTGGCGGCTCTTGGGGCTGTCTTGCGTGACTTCGGGGCCGTGTTGGAGCCGTCGTGGTCCGTCTTGGGCGCCTACTGGGCCGTCTTCGGGCCGTCTGGGGCCGTCTTGGGGCTGCCTGGGTCCAAGAGGGCTCGTTGAGGGCCCCAGGACGCCGCCGGGCGCGGGCCCACCGTCCGGGGTCGTCTGGGTGTTGTCTGGAGCCGTCTTGAGCGTCTCTGGAGCAGTCTGGGGGTAGTTTGGGCCGTCCTGGGCCGCTTTTGAGACTGTCTTGGGTGCCCCGTAGGCCGCCAGAGGCGCCTCAGGAGCCGTGCTGGGGCCGTTTTGAAGCCTTTTGGGGCCGCTGGGGGCCCCTGGGCCGTCTCTTGGGCCGCCATGGGCGCCTCAAGAGCCGTGGTGGAGCCGTTTTGAGGCATTCTGGCGGCTCTGTGGGCTCTCTTAGGCCGTCTTGGTTGCCTCTCGGGTGGTTGTCTTGGGGCCGTATGGGCCCGTCTTGGGTACCTCTTCGGCCGTCCTGGGCGCCTCTTGGGCCGTCCTGGGGTCGTCTTGGGCCGCCTTGGGGCCCTCATGGGGCCCCGCGGACTCCCTGCGGCCCCTCTTGGAGCCCTCCTGGGGGTCTCTCTGGAGCATCGCGGGGCCGTCTTGGGCCATTTTGGGGCTCTCTTGGGCCGTCTCGGGGGCCCCGCAGGCCGTCCTGGAGCCATGGTCGGGGTCTCGGGCTGTCTTGGAACTTGCTTTGGGGTCTGTTCGGCAGCTCCTGGGGCCCTTTTGGGGCTGTATTGGGGGCCAATGGAGGCTCTATCTATGAGGGTATCGTGGGCCTCTCTGGGGCAATCATGGGGCACTCTTGGGCCGTCTCGGGGCTCTTGGCGGGGCCTCCTGGACTGTGTTTGGGAGCTATCGGGGGCTTCCTGGGACGTCTCGGGCGTGCGGGAAGAAAGAATAGGGGGAGCACGGAGAAGAAAAGAAAAGGGCGTGCGGGAAGAAAGAAAAGCGACCCTACCTAGGAGTCGGAGCCCCTAGGAAAGCAGCATTATTAGTAGCAGTAAAGCTAAGCTAAAGCTAAGCTAAAGCTAAGCTAAAGCTAAGCTAAAGCTAAGCTAAATCTAAGCTAAAGCTAAGCTAACGCTAAGCTAAAGCTAAGCTGAAGCTAAGCTAAAGCTAAGCTGAAGCTAAGCTGAAGCTAAGCTGACGCTAAGCTGAAGCTAAGCTAACGCTAAGCTGAAGCTAAGCTACAGCTAAGCTACAGCTAAGCTGAAGCTAGTCTAAAACTAAGCTAACGCTGAGCTAAAGCTAAGCTAACGCTAAGCCAAATATAAGCTAAAGCTAAGCTAAAGCTAAGCTAAAGCTAAGCTAAAGCTAGGCTAAAGCTAAGCTAACGCTAAGCTAACGCTAAGCTAAAGCTAAAGCTAAGCTAAATCTAAGCTAAAGCTAAGCTAAAACTCAGCTAAAGCTAAGCTAAAGCTAAGCTAAAGCTAAGCTAAGCTAAGCTAAAGCTAAGCTGAAGCTAAGCTAAAGCTAAAGCTAAAGCTAAAGCTCCCAAGGGACTGGGGGAACCGCGGGGCGGGGACCGGGGGAACCGCCCGGGGCGAAGCCCACTGCCCGGCCTCTTTAAGCCCAGCGAGTAAAAACCCTCTAGGCAGAGCGTAGGAAGGGAAAAAACCATTGGACATCGTCCATTTACTCCCGTCGAGGCCTGTCCGTGGGCCCTCTCGGAGCCTTCGAGAGCGACCTGGGCGCTGCTGGGGCCGCCTGGAATGCGAGCTCGGGCGTCTTGGAGCTTTCTTGGGCCGTCTTGGAGCTCATCGCAGCGCTCAGGAGCAGCGGCCGGGGGCCACGAGCTCGGTGGGGAGCCACGCAGATTGGGCCACTTTCGCACGCGCTTCGCCAAGCATTGTAGTACAGATGATGCTGGGCTCCAGCTTCACATGCCATATCTCGCTCAACAGCGCCAAAGCCCGCTGCCACTGCTCGCCCTTCTCGCACGCGCTGATCCCAGCGCTGTAGCTGATGATGGTGATGATGACGATGATGATAATGATGATGATGGTGGTGATGATGATGACGATGATGATGATGATGCTGCTGATGATGTTGATGATGATGATGATGGTGATGTTGGTGTTGATGATGATGATGATGAGGATGATGATGAGGATAAGGATAAGGATAAGGATAAGGATAAGGATAAGGATAAGGATAAGGATAAGGATAAGGATAAGGATGATGATGATGATGATGATGATGATGATGATGATGATGATGATGCTGATGATGATGATGATGATGATGATGATGATGATGATGACTAGGGCTGACACGTGGACTACGTTCACTCGCGGGGAGAGGGGGAGTGCCGCCAGGCGCTTCAATTACGTTAGGCGCTACGTTGGCTTCCGAAAGTGCCACGTTAGGCGCCACGTTGGCGCCACGTTATGGGGGGAATATCTGTCCGAAAAACGCATGTCCAGTCCTTCTGCGCCGCGACGCTCCTGGAGCCGTGGAGAGCTTGAGGATAACATTTAACGCCTGGGCAGAATGTTAGATCCGTCCGCGGCAGGCCGGAGGCCTCAGCGATGGACCCCGGGAGCCGCGGACAAAATATAACACGCCATCCTCGCGTGAAATTTTGTCCTCAAGCTCGGGGGGTGCGGGACCCTCACGTTAAATCGCAGTTTCGGGCCCAGATCCCGCGTCAAATTTCGCCCTCGAACGGTAATGCCGCGCACTGTGGCGGCCTTGGTGGGCCTGCGCAAGGCTCGGGTCGGAGCCGTCGTAGGCGGCGTCGGGAGGCTCCTGGGGCGTCTTGGGGCTATCCCTGAGGGTGCCTGGGACCGTTTGCTGTTTCTGTGCTGCCGTTGGCGGTGCTTGCTGCGGGCTACGCGCTGCTGCTGCTCGCTGTTTCTGCTTCTCCGAGCCCGTTTTTGTTGCTCAATCGCGATGGTGGGCGTGATCGGGGACGGGGGGTGGGGGAAATTCGCCCCCCGATCACATCACAGCGGAGGGGCGCCGGAAGACTCACTGAAACGTCCTCGCAATATGCATGGTTTGGCCTGGTTTGGGCCCGGTTTCGCCTGAGACGTCCTGGCAATTTGCCTGATTCGGGTTTGGTTTCGCTTGAGACGTCCTCGCAATTTGCTTGGTTTGGCCTGAGTTGTGCCGGGTTTCGCCTGAGACGTCCTCGCAATTTGCCTGGTTTGGCCTGGTTTTCCAATCGGACTTTCTGTAAAATCTGGATCAAAAAAAAAAACGGAAGTGGGGTGGATCAGGCGGCCCAAGCACAAGTAGCCAAAACGGGCGATTCCTTTGTCAAACATGTGTTTGTATGGGGGTGACATCAGTATGTCCCCCCAGAGGGGGTGGCGCTGTCTCCCGCAGCACGCCCGAAGGGGGGAAACGCCGCCCTGGGGCCTCTCCTTGCTTCAGGGAGGGTGGTCGACCAGACCGAAACACTAGCCAGCGATGGGGCGAGAACCAAGGACTGACCGGCGTTCGGACGAGAGCACGTCAACGTCGTCGTAGTCGTCGCCGCGGTCGTTAAAATCATCATCATAATCATCGTCGTCGTCGGCGTCGTCGTGGGGGGGGGCGACGCTCGGAAACACATTATATTTTGACACACGGTGCAAGGAAATGAAAGAAACGATTCAATCTCACGACGTTGGTAGATGCTTTACCCCAGCATCAAGGGGGCAAGTGTACCCAGCCCACCAGGGAAAGAACCATCAGGATTCGTCCCTGCGAGCACCCCCCCAAACTTCCGCGCTGGCCGCTGCCTCGGGAAGCGGGAACTGAGGTGGCGGCCGCGCGCCGGCCGTAGCTTAGTCCTTCGCCGCGGCACGCGCGCGTCGTGACGCGGCGCGGGCGGGTGGGCGGAGATCGATATGCAATCGTCGCGCCGCGCCGCGCCCTGCACGGCGCCCCGTCACGGAACGGCAGGCCCAACGGCCCCGTAGGGTGCCGTCTGCCCTGCGACGGCCCGCGCCGTGCACAGCGCACTGCCAGGGAACGGCAGGCACTCGGCCCCGCGGGGACGTGACCCCCCCAGCCTTGACCAGGCGACACAAGTGGCGCCGACGAAGCCAGGCCAGGCCGCCTGCGGTGAGTGGCCAACACACTCGGCACTGGCCATTCACTGTTGTCCCCGACGTGTAAAGCACCCGCGTCTCTAGATCGCCCGTTTTCCGAAAGGTTTCGCCTTCCTCCAAACAGGGTAAATCTCACGACGTTGATAGATGCTTTACCCCAGAATCAAGGGGGCATGTGTACCTCCAGCCCACCAGGGAAGGAGCCACCAAGATTCGTCCCTGTGAGCACCCCCCGAAGCAGGCCCCCTTGAGGCGGTGCTCCGCGCAGCGGTGTGAGTCGGAGTCTTGTTGTTTCTTTCCCCGGAGGTTCGGGCGCTCTCGCGGCGGGCGTTTTCCCTCGCGAGCGTTTGCTTGGCCTGGCCGTCGCATGCTCAGCAAAGAAGGAGGCCGCGCTCTCGAGAAAACACTGCGTTTGCGTGCTCGGGTGCGTGTCGGCGTAAGACTGACGCATGACATCATCCGAATTCCACCCCCCCTTGCCGTTTGACAATGTTCGGGGGTAGTTTTGCTACGTGCGTGAACCACTCCGCTCCGCCTCTACGAAAGGAGCGCACACTGGTAGCGGGGTCCTTAAAATGGGCCGACACCACTTTGCGCCGCAGGTCAGCGCTAACAGGTTGGTGTCTGCGACCTGTTGTGGCGCAGAAGAAGAAAGGCGAGTCTGACGCGTTGGCCGCCCGCCACTCTGCCCCATCCTGAATTATTCTGGCCGGCGACAAACCAGCGATCTTCACGGAAAGGATGAAACGCAATAGGTCTTTTCTGCACGGGTCGCTTTGCTGCCCCCGGATGACACAGCTCACGCGCGCGGCATTGAAGCGCGCGTCCTCGGCGCGAAGACTGAGCGCCTCCGACGCCCGGCGCAGGCCGAAACAAACTGACGCTAAAGCTGCATCTCTGCACCATGCCGGCGTGCCTGCGGCAGATCTGGACGCAGGGAACCGCGCCCGCTCCCCCGCGGATATCGCGCGCTTTTGGTGCGACGCGCGAGACGCCCGTTTCTTCAGGCTTCGCCAAAAATGCGACGCCCGATCGTCCCAGCACTCGTCGAACACCTGGCTGTAGTTGTTGCTCATGCGCCACGCCCTGACAGCCACCTTATTAAGTCTGATCGTTGCCCAGGCCATGCCGCCCATGCCGTCCATGCTGGCAAACAAAAGCATGAGTTTGTCTGGGGGGTCCAAGGGATGGGTCGACGAGTCCACTTGCCGCTCAAAGCCGTGCACATGAACCGCCAAGGCCTTGGCAGATGTTTGGATCGCGCTCTGCTCCCAATTTGGTTTGTAGGATACCACGAGCGATGTCCACGAGTTTTGCCCGGGCAGACAACGCCGCGGCTACTGCGGGCGCATGCGAGACGTCGCCCCGAACCGGCGCAAACTGCAAGTCAACGCCACCGAGAGACCGGGCACTGACGGGGTCGCGCGGTCCTTTGGCTGCGGGGCGAGGTGGGGCAGCGGGGGCGCCCGGGGGCCTGGGCGGAAGCCGGGCGGCCCACCTGCGCTCCGGAAACGGCGCTGACAGTAAACGAACGCCCCATAGCGCTGGGGCGCCCGACTCTCCTGACAGTGGCGCGCTCAACAAACGCATGCTGAAGGCTGGGGCCAAGACAGCTACGGTCTGGGGGGGCGAGGCCGACGTGAGAAGCACGCAAACAATCGCTGTCAGGCCCCGGGGCCCGCGCCCGGGGCGGAAAAAACTGCGCCGCGTGGGCCCCGGGGGAAATCTGCAGCGGATTTCAAAAAAATCCCACCAGCCCTCTGGGCGCAGGTGGTCTAGGGCGTTTCCTTTTCCAACCCCCTTCCCTTCCCTGCTTGGGAGGTCTATGCCGCCCCTGATTCGCCAACTCCCTCTTGTTGCTGATCGTTTCTGGATGGGCTGGCGGGGATTTTCGGTTCGCAATCGCAAGCGGACGGCCGCGCAAGGGGTCGAACGAAAACCGGCCGCTGGCGGGGGCGAGCGAAGCGTCGAGAATTTGTAGGGCGCCGAAGCTGCCCATGGGCGTCCCGAGAGCGGGTCGGTTCTCAAACCGAGGACACTTCCGCCGGCCCGCGGGCGTGCGGCACCGTAAACGACACCACCCCCCAGACCTGGAGGTTTGCGCGCGAGCCCAGACCTGGGCCCGGGACAGGCCCGCAATAACGCGCAAGGTCGCGCGCGGGCCCAGCCGAGATCCGATTGTTGTGCCCGGGCCAAGAACAGTCTCGGCCAAGACTCGCGATTTTCTGGCGGGGGCCCCCGCCGGCGCGCCTGCGGGATGTCTGGCAGGCGAGCGGCCCGCGAGCGGGCAACGTCGCTGCGCTGGCAGCGCGGCGGGGCGCGCCGCAAGCATCCGACAATTTGCCGGCGCACATGTGATCGACAGGGGCACGTTCGAACCCGTCCCTCCCGGATGAACGACGACCAGGCAGTTTTGTGTTTCTTTGTATTATTATTATTATTATTATTATGTTTTTTATTTTCTACTTTTTTTTTTTTTTCTTTTCTCCCGCCCGCCGAGGCCGAGGTGGCGCGCCTGCAACCGGCGCTGGCGCGCAGGCGGTATATAACAGGTCGCGCGGCGAAGAGCACGACGCGGAAACCGGCTTGGAAACCAGCTCGCGGATTGCAACATACGGGGCGCCACGCGAAAGGCCTTTCTGGCGCGCGCTCGCGCGCGCGGCAGATCGCGCCCACGGACCTGCCAGACTGACCGGCCGGCCGGGGCGAACGGGGGCGGGAGGATGGGGGGGGCGGAGGAAGGGCGGGGGCGGAAGTGGCCGAGCTCCTGCTCGGCTGCAACGCGTGCGCCCGAGGAGCACTAGCTGGGGCACTCCTCAAGCCAATGGAAGTTCATGACTTCCTTCTGCGCGCGCCGGGTGCGCGGGGTGGCCGGCCTGTTCCCTTCGGCCACGCGCTGGGCCCGGCTGCGCTGGGCCA